TCAGCGATTAAGAAATCCGAATTCAGTATCCGAAAAGTAATCGGACATAAAAATTGACGTAGCTGCTGTAACATTTCTACATCGGAGTAAAGTTTTAACTCTAAGCGACCGCGGACAGAACACACATTTACTTTACGCATTCAATACCGAGAAGATCAAATTACCCCCACGATTGTGGTCTCGTGTCTCATGATTTAATTACAGGTAAATACCATGTTTGCATTCCTCCGCTTGAAATCACAGCACAATGTCTAGACAGGGGACGATGTGTATTAAAAATGTAATCGATACCGTCCACATGCGTCCGGAAGATGAATTCATCAGAAACGTATAGCTGGCTAGGATATCACTTTCAATGTTGGCAACAAGAGTTTAAAAATTAGTTACAGCAATAGTTTGAAGCTAAAGTTACAGCCATAGTCACAGCAATACTTACAACTGCGCCCCCTACGATAGTTATTACAGTAGCCACAATAATAGATAGTCACAACAGTAGTCCAAATAGTACCCACAACTGGGGCCCCAATAGCTACACCATCAACACCACCTCAAGCATATTCCAGCATATTCCCCACCCCATGCATACTCACATCCCAAGCATATATCCCATGCATATTCCCCATCTCAAGCAAATCCACCTCATGCATATCCACCCTATGCATAATATCCACACCATGCATATCTGCCACCCTATGCGTATTTCCCAACACAATACATCTCAATAACATCAACAATTATTGCGTGATGAATGTTGATTCTATTCTGCAGGCTAAGGACTGATAGTGTGCGCATTTAATGTGTATGTTGCAACAAAAAATTAATTGATGCAGTAGTTATTAGTTGAAGATAACTTTAGTATGGACATCAGTGGTCCAATGTTGACATGTTATTTTTAGCTATATAATGAGCAGTAGTTCGCGTGAATTTAAGCTCTCTGAAGTATTGCAATACAGAATAATAGAGGTTTTTTTTCAAAGAATTTGTTAGATTGTAAATAGATCTGATTTTAAAACGCTTGTAAATCTGCTTGTTGAGGTGTATTCTGTGAACAATATATTATTCATTGCTTTATCTCAAACTGTTAACTTTATGTTCAGCCGATATGACTACACTAAGCTTGACCAATAGGCCCATGCTTGTCCGATAGAACTACATTAGCCATTGACCAAGTAAGTGGTCAGTCAGACTAGAGCACACTTGGCCATTGCGGTTAAAGCTAGTTTGTGGTCAATGTGTCTCTCCTTGAACGATAGGCCTGCACTTGGCTAGTAGACAGTGTGGTCAAAGTTAGTTCGTGGTCCTACATTATTGTGGCCTTTTACTTGACCCACAAACTTCCACTTCGCCAATGTGGTTAAAGCTAGTTCGTGGTCCTTTACTTGACCGATATGCCTGCACTTGGCCAGTAGACAGCCGCCCGTATGTCTCCCAAATTACAGCCTCAGAAGCTTGAAGGTAATATGTTATGATGGACGTAGATTAGCTATGAGTGGCAGCCGAATAAATAATTAATTGGAGAGAAGTTGGGTTTTTTTTATCGTGTGGCAGCGCGTTGTCTGTGTGCTACAGGCAGTGTGTTGGCACTGATATATAACAGTGGCATTGACGCGTGGCATTAATAGTAATGACACTGATATGTGGCAGTTATGTTGGTGACACTGACATATGGCAACACGTGTGTAAAGTGACTGTCATGACACAGATACATGACAGTACTACTGACACCTCTTATGTTTATTTTAGCACGCGACTGCACACGCATCGGATGACTGACACTATGCCCATTAACACAGTACCTACGTCAGGTTACAGACAGTGATCTATCACTAGCAGCTGGTTGTAGGATTCGTCTTCTTCTTCGTCCTTTACTTTAGTGTTCTAAGGGATCCCCTCCAACACAATTAAGTGTTACGTGTCAACTTGTTATGCGAAATGTATGCCATTGATTTCAGTGCTTTTTCCAGACATTTTTTCTCCGGGGAGGGGGGGGGGGGGGGCACTGGATATTTTTGGGGGTAAAATGTATATGTTTGCTATATAAATTACATTTCGTCCGGGGGCGGTAGACTTTATTCGGGGGGGGGGGGGGGGGGGCACTCCTAAAAAATGTATTTCCATTCAGTTGCGCATCGAAGAGATGCCTGGAAGAAACTGACTCCAAATTTCAGCCTGCTTTTCTTTCTGGATTTGCTTCCATAGCCTTTGTCCAAGAACAATTAACAGGGCATCAGTTGTTTGATTTTAGAGTTGTCTCTCCTAGATGAGTTGCTGTCCCCAGGTATCGAGTCCCCGGTGTTCGAACTCTGGACTTTTCGATTCAGCAGTTATGAGCTTAACCGACCTGACCACGCCGACCTCCGAAGTACAATTAAGACCGGAGTTTCCATTATTTATTTAACAGATATGACAGTTGTTTACGTATGTTTGCACTGGGATTTAACCTATTACTCGCCTGTATCTGCCTGTGTTACTACACAGTGTGTTGTCTGAATTTTTCATCACTTTTTTTCCGGCTACGGAATCGAATTTCCTACCGCTTTTCATTATACATAAATATTCTAAATCGAAGTCGAAAGATATCGGATTTTATTTTTAGGACATTGTTTAAGTCTAATGTCAACATATTTTGGTTTTAATTATTAAGTACTCGAAAAGGAAAGAATTAACAAGGCAGAAAGATCAAAGGTCATGTTTTTCTAATGTTGAGATATTCAGAGTCTAAACAGGAGACGAATTGATCAATGATCGCACCGATTCTTTGAGTCAGCATCGCTTGTAACGACGCGATAAACGTTTGCGTAAGGACACGGCATTTCCATTTGTGATGTTGCATTATTAATCCCTATGTCAAGACTTTGATTTTTTTTTCTCTCGTTCACGGTGACATTTTCAGTCGAGGATAACTCGATGTAAATCAGACATCCCAGCTCATATAACGAGTTATCTCCCTGTCTGTGTCCCGATATAGTGGATAAGCCCTGCTGGTACAGACTTAGTGCAGTAGATAGTGGAGGATTTCCATCTTGATTTGTGGTAGCTATTTTTTTTTAAATTTGTGGTTTTAGATTTGGTTCTTGGTCAGCTAATTTTTTTAAATTTGTGGTTTTAGATTTGGTTCTTGGTCAGCTAATTTGTAACTGGATTTAAATTGTGGTTTTAGATTTGGTTTTTCGTCAGCTATTTGAGATGGATTTAAATTGCGGTTTTACATTTGGTTCTTGCTCAGTTATTTGAAATTGATCTAAAGTGTGGTTTTAGATTTGTTTCTTGGCCAGCTAATTTGTAAATAGATTTAAATTGTGGTTTTAGATTTGGCTCTTGGTCAGCCAATTTTTAAATAGATTTAAATTGTGGTTTTAGATTTGGTTCTTGGTCACCTAATTTGTAAATAGATTTAAATTGTGGTTTTAGATTTGGCTCTTGGTCAGCCAATTTGTAAATAGATTTAAATTGTGGTTTTAGATTTGGCTCTTGGCCACCTAATTTGTAAATAGATTTAAATTGTGGATTTAGATTTGGTTCTTGGCCACCTAATTTGTAAATAAATTTAAATGGTGGTTTTAGATTTGGTTCTTGGTCAGCTTTTTGAAAAGGATTTAAATTGTATTTTTAAATTTGTTTTTGTTCAGCTATTTTGAAACACATTCAGATTTTCTGATGTATTTTGAATTGATCTAATTGTAATTAAGGTTTGTAATCAATGGGTTTTTTTTTTATTTCTTAAGTATTTTTAAATTTTCGGTTAGTTAATAAGTATGGTTTCGGTAATTTTCTATGTCTTATAGATCTAGTTCTTTTATAAATTGTGTTTTACTTAGGAAATCTATTCGTAGATTTTGCCAACAAGCAATTTAATTATTTTTTTCTTCTTGAGGATTTAAAATTGTGTTTTTTTATACACGTTTTTTTTTCGAGTGTTGATTCGTGATTTCGGATAAATTTTAATTAAGTGAAACAAAAAGTGATCAATCTTCTGAAACGAACGGTTTTTTGTGTGTTATTTAAAAGTTAACGAAACACCGCGTTCCCGTTTTGGCGAAGGATTGAGTTCATTATGTTCTGTGTTTGTGTATTATTCAGGTTTTCCCATTACTAGACACACTCACCATCATGAGGTGAGCGGGTATTCCCGGAACGATACTATACCTTGGTGTGCAACATTGAAATCCACACCGTCTGTGTGAACACTGAAATAAATACTCCAAGAAAAACTGGGAAAAAAAAAACTTGGTTTGGATATTGTTATTTTTCTGTTTTATTTTTTCGGTGATATTCGGAGAATAGCGGTGACAGGCTGCGAGAATGGAGGACGAGATCTCGGACCAGCAGTGTCTAGACGTCAAAGAAGACAGCGGGTGTTTTATTTCCAAGATGGCCGACGCTACAGACCACGAGGAGCTGGGAGAACGCCGTGCTGGTGATTCGCGAGTCGGGGAATTCGAGTCGAAGGCTCCTCCCCGGGATACGGACGGTAAACCTGGTGTAGACCCTCGTTCAGGGTATCAACGGTCGGATTCTTGCTCGTGCAAAAAGGAGAATGCTTACGTCATGAACGAGGACGCAACGTCACTGCATGGTTCGATTATAGGCTGCCATGACGAATTTCTCAAAAGCTGTGATCTCGAAACGGAAATTCCCGTGTCGGCGCACGATATTGAGTTGAATATTCCGGTGGAGGATATCGAAACCGGATGTGCTAATGAAGAGGATGAAATTTGGGATTCGCAGCACAACTTGGCGGCGCTGTGCGCTGACGTCAACGACGACGCTGATCGAAATTACGACGCGGGGGATGGTACACCGGGTTCGGGTGAGCCCGAACCCCAGTATGAACCCCCCGGGTTGTCGCAGCATTCGTGTCATATTTACCCGGACGTGTTACGGGATGTGTACAGAATGCACGGCGATTCGCGAATGGGTCATTTGAACCACTCGATGGACGACAGCGACCGGCAGTCGAACGATACGATATACGAGGACGACGAAGATGAGTACACGGAGATGGAGAAACAGGCGCTGGAGAATATCCTAGGATACAACGACGGTGTGGATAATCCTGCGGGATACTTCAAACATTATCCCAGCTTGAAGCGGAACATCGTGGCGAAGAACCTTGAAACTATTTGCACGGCGAGCGATACGGATTCGATTAAATTAGGGCGAGGATTTCGATGCGCGGACGGACTTGAAGACAATAACAACACAAAAAGCAAGGAGCCCAGGGTTAAGGGAAAACAGACGGACAAATGCGATAGCGAGCCAACCGGAAGTGACAGCAGCAGTGTCAACAGTGCCAGGGATGTCAAGAGCCATCATAAAAATGGCGGCTCCTCGGCTCACGGGAAGAAGGACCGGGTGTCACGTGGGAAAGCCGGGACCAGCAGCCGGAATCAGTCGTTCAAGTCGGCGAAACGGGTTTCGTTCCGGCTAAGACATGAACGGTAAGCGTCAGTTATTTGATGTGTAGGCTTTATGAGTGTTGTCATTTGAGTGTCATCGATGTTACCCTACCTTTAGTTGGTAGTGCAGATGTTGTCTTTAGAATATGTATATTAGAAAACCATCAGTAATAGCTTACTTAATTAAGATCATTATTGTGTGGGAAGTTTTAAAGTATTAGATACATGCTTTTGTATGTTATTTGTGTTCTTTAGACTTAGCTGATTTTTTTTTCTTTGCTTTTATAAGGATTGACGTATGTCTTTTTCCAGAACCAGACTGTCTTAACTCCAACGTTCCTTTTTTTGTTGTTGTTTTTTTTTATAGATCTATACACTAAGATGATCATAATCCATCAAGACATCATAGTTAAATAAAAAGGCGAGATTACATATCTGACCATTATTTAACAATCTCGTATCTCAGAATCCTTGATATCGAAATGTTAAGAAGGGTCGGCGTGGTCGAATCGGTAAAGCTCATGGTTGGTAAACCGAAAAGTCTCGAGTTCGAATCTTCGGGTAGATGAGGCTCGTTAGCTGGGGACAGCCACTCTTCTAGGAGAGACAACTCCAAAATCAAACAACTGCTGCCTTGTAGTTTGTTCTTGGTTGGACAAAGGCTATGAAAGCACATCCAAATGCCTTGTTAAGATTTTTTTTTTAAATTGATGTTAGACTGAGGTTCTGGGGAATCCATGTTGTGGTCGTGTTGTCGACGCCATCTGCTTCCATTTACCCCGTGTATACACAACATTTCCTATCAATGCTACTTTTTTGGGTAGACAAGATTCCAACGTTCAGGACAGCTTCAACGTCACCGTCGTCGTTATCCCCCCCCCCCCCCTCCGTCACCCTCTATCCCCATCCCGCTCACGGCGTTGACGGCAGAAACCCCATGAATGGATGAAGGACAATCCGGGCAAGTTACACGTCAAAATGAAATAGCTTTTGAAAAAAAATTGTTGATGCTTTCATCCCATCGAGTCTGAGCTTTCAAGTGGAGTGGTGGGGCGGGGGTAGGGGGGGTGAGGGGATGGATTTCGTTTCTCTGATTGAACGCTTCACACTACATTTGTTGCAGTTCGGACACTTCTGTTTTAATTTTTTTGTTGTGTTGTCGTAACGATCTTACCCACTGATGTTTTTATTATATTTGTGTGGGGTGGTGGGAGGTGTGTGTGGGGGGGGGGGGGGGTGAGGGGATGGATTTCGTTTCTCTGATTCAACGCTTCACACTACATTTGTTGCAGTTCGGACACTTCTGTTTTAATTTTTTTGTTGTGTTGTCGTAACGATCTTATCCACTGATGTTTTTTATTATATTTGTGTGTGGTGGGAGGTACAGGGGGGGGGGCTGAAGTGGACGGGTGTGTGAGACACCGTACCCTCCCCATGAACAACATCCTTTTATAGTTGGACAGCTTTCACGCCGCCACTACTCATAACCAACTAGCCAACAACATCGATGTTTGTTTGTTTTTTTTTTCGTTCCGTGTTCCTCCCCCTCTCCCGTCAGCCTCCACACCCCCCCCCCCCCCTCACGTGTATTGATTTACCATTGAAATGTTTTCAGCTGTTCACCCATGCTTGTCTGGCTTGACTTAGATATGGCAAACACTTCTAGTTGACATTAGCGGTGTGGTGTTTTAGATCTGACAGTACATATACAGATAGTATTGGCATTGTATTTTTAAGCTCTGTCATTTACACAAATCTGTTATTAGCTTCATGAGTTGTTGTTTTTTTAGCTCTGACAACTACATACACTTGGAATTAGCTGTATGTTGTTATGGCTCAATTTATAAATGTGAAATTAGGTTGTTGTTTTTTTTTTGTTTGTTTGGTTTTGTTTTTGTTTTTTTTTGTAAGTTCTTACAACTGAAGCCTTAAAAAAACGTATATTTTTCCCACGTTTTCTTTAACTTGCTTTCTCTGTGTCTTTCTGTGTTTCTGTGTTTGTTTGTCTTTCCAATCCAATCTTGCGATCGAAATTTCTGGCACTTCCCAGTTAGCTAGCGCGCTGAAATTTTCAGGGAAGCTTTGTTTTGGATGACAATTGAATATTCTATTGTTTTTATTACTAAATTAATCCATGGAAACATTTTATTGATCATTTTAGACCACTATATAATTGTACCAAAAAACGTCGGGAAAAAGGGACATTACCCAGTAACTGTAATTTGATGAAAACAAGGTTCGACACTCCCCCTCTTTTTGCTTACTGAGTAGTTGTCACGCTGTGTTTGTGTACAAACAACCATAACCTAACAACTGGTGGCCAGTATGGGGGAGACTATATGGTCGAGTGGTTGGGCACACGATTGCTATCCCACTCGACACGGGTTCAAATCTATGTGTTCTAGTCAGTAACGTATTCACACAACGTGTTTTTTTACGAGTTGTCTTTTTACGAGTTGTCTTTTTACGAGTTGTCTTCGTTTACCCAAAAAAAAAGTGAAAAGATAAAATCGATAGCAAGATTTTAATGCAAACAAACAGACAAAGACTAAAAAGTAGAAAATAATAATCATTAAAAAAGTTTTAAAAAACCCACGTTTTCCGATTGAACTAAAAAGTAGAAAATAAATACTGTACATCACAATAATGCAAGCGATCACTCTACTATAAGCGATCAAAAACGTGGGGCGCCGTGATTTTCTTACAGTTTCTAATACTGTTGACTCTCTACAAGCTCCCTAATAAAAGTCAATAGTATTATCTAATCAATAGTAATATAACTTTTACTTCGGCGCCCCACGTTTTTGATCGCTTATAGTAGAGTGATCGCTTGCATTATTGTGATGTACAGTATTTATTTTCTACTTTTTAGTTCAATCGGAAAACGTGGGTTTTTTAAAACTTTTTTAATGATTATTATTTTAAAATGTCGATTATCAATTGGCTTATTGTTAACTCTGGCGTCTGTTTTTCTCGAGTTTCTGTTTAACTCGAGTTTCATGTTCGCTCGATCTTCTGATTAGCTCGAGTTTCTGTTTACGTCGGGTTTCTGTTTAGCTCTGGCATCTGTTTAGTCATGGTGTCTCTTTAGCTCGGGTTTCTGTTTAATTTCGGTATATATTTAGCTCCGGCTTCTGTTTCACTTAGTTTTCTGTTTAGCTTTGAAAACTAAAGACAATTATTTAAGCCTTGACTACTACAGAAGGCCGTATGGGAATTTCTGGGACGAGCATTAGCATCCATTCCTTGACGTGTACATACCAAGGGAACTTTGTTCACATCGGGTGAGATTTTCAGTAGAAAAGTAACAGTTGTTTGGAATTCAAAAATTGAGTAGAAATATAACGGTCTTTTCAGTTGATTTTTGGGGGTCGGCGTGATAGAATCGGTAAAGCTCATGGATGCTAAACGGAAAAGTCTCGAGTTCGATACGTGTGGACAGCCACTCTTCTAGGAGAGACAACTCCAAAATCAAACAACTGCTGCCTTGTAGTTTGTTCTTGGTTGGACTAAGGCTATGGAGGTAAATCCAAAAAAAAAAAAATCAGGCTGAAATTGGGGTCCACGGCTTATAAGATGCATAACAAGTTAACACGAAATACTTTTTTATTTTGGAGGAAATCCCTTCCAACATGAAAATTAAGAAGTTGATCTTTCAAATTCCCGATTTACTTGAAATATAACGAGTGCTTGAGTTTGTCTTTGAAATTCAGTAACTCTTTAATCTATGCAGTCAACTTCATATCTTCCATTGCTTAAATATAGTTTACACTTAGGCACAGCACGCGAAAGTGACAATTTAAAACATAGCAAGCATTGTTTAATATCAGCAGCTGTTCTGTAGAGCTGTGTAAGCAGAAGCGCTTGGTTGTTGGCTGGTGAAATCGAAGTTTTGGTCGATGTGGGGTAGGGTGGTGTGAATGGGTGGGGTTAGTTAAATGGTGTGTGGCGGCATTTGAATGTGGGGGAGGGGGTTGTGTGAGGGCTTAAAGTGGGTGCGAGGCAGGGCTTCGGTGAATAGGAGGGGTTCAGTAATTGCGAGTGTTGCGGTATGTGGTAGAGTGTGGGAGTGTTGCAGTGTGTGGGAGTGTTGCAGTGTGTGGGGGTGTTGCAGTGCGTGGGGGTGTTGCAGTGTGTGGGGGTGTTGCAGTGTGTGGGGGTGTTGCAGTGTGTGGGGTGTTGCAGTGTGTGGGGATGTTGCAGTGTGTGGGAGTGTTGCAGTGTGTGGGAGTGTTGCAGTGTGTGGGGTGTTGCAGTGTGTGGGGATGTTGCAGTGTGTGCAAGTGTTGTAGTGTGTGGGAGTGTTGCGGTGTGTGGGAGTGATGTAGTGTGTGGGAGTGTTGCGATGTGAGGGAGTGTTGCGGTGTGTGGGAGTATTTCAATGTGTGGTATTATTTCATTGTGTGTGTGTGTATATGTGGGTTTCAGTGGCATAGAGTATGACTGGATGAAATAGCATCATTGAGGTTGTCTTTACAAATTAGTGATATATTCTTCGGATTGGAGGTTTATGGATAGGGTCATGATACACTGACGGAGTTGAGATACGTGAATTATGTGGATGCTGTATAAAAATGGATGAATTAATGGCCACGTTAATTGATCGTGCCAGGGCTGGCATATGAAAACTAAACTATTAGCCAAGTTTGTTCCAGGCTTGGACTCTGGGGAACTGGTGTGTTGTTCGCAGCACATCAGGTGGGGGGTGGAGTGTACATGGGTGGTGGTGTCTACATGGGTGGGGGTGGTGTGTACATGGGATGCGGGCGGTGTGTACATGGGTGGGGGCGGTGTGTACAGGGGTGGGGGCGGTGTGTACAGGGGTGGGGGCGGTGTGTACATGGGTGGGGGCGGTGTGTACATGGGGTGAGGGCGGTGTGTACATGGGGTGAGGGCGGTGTGTACAGGGGTGGGGGCGGTGTGTACATGGGTGGGGGCGGTGTGTACATGGGTGGGGGCGGTGTGTACATGGGTGGGGTGGGGTGGTGTATACATGGGATGGGGGCGGTGTGTGCATGGGGTGGGGTGGTGTATACATGGGA